CGGCGAGGGGCGCAGGTGAGTGGGCTCCCGCGGGCGGCGGCCTCCCTCCGTGCCAGGCTCCAGGGAACGCCCAGGGTCGGGCTTCCTGGATGTGGCCCCTACGCCGCTTGGCTCCGGGACTCGAACTCCGGACCTTTGTTCCTGCAACTCGTCCCCCTTCCCCCCCCCGACCCGCGCCCCCCCCCCGCGCCCTCCCTCCCGGTATTCCCGCGCCGGGTGAGTGCCGGGGTGGCAGGTGCGGATGCACACGTTCCAAACCCTGGGAAGAACCGGGGGCGCTTCCCTGCAGCCTGGGGACTGTTAAAACTGGGCGTGTGGGAACGTCTGTGCATCCCACTGGCCCTGGTCCCTCGCTCTTTGTCCAACAGTTGAGTTGCTAAGACAGGAAAACTTGGGAAGCAATGCTGAAACCAGCACCCCCAGGTTGGAGGGGATCTGGGGCCGATGGTGGAGCAATGAACAACCCTGCTTGGGACAAAATTGTTTCAGTTAGAACTTGGGAGAATTATATTGTAAAACCTAGGCAAAGAAAGTCAAGATCAAAGAGCCTTTGGCACCTGCTCAAATCAACCCAGAGGGACCTGCAGGCTGGGTGTGGTGGGCACACCTGTAATCCCTGCATTCACATAATCTCAATGCCTGATAGTTCGTTCCCTAGAACTCCTAGACTTTGAAAAGATTATTTTTCGAAGTGAGCAAGAAGCAAGAATAGCCTTCAAGTACACTGTAGCTTGAGTCATTCATTCAGTCTCAGAACATGTATTTACCCAAATGAGTACTCTTCTGGAGAAACACTTATTAAATGTCAATTATGTCCTAGACAATATATAGATAGGGCCTAAAAATACACAAATAGTAAGTTTCCTCGTGATAGGGGCTCAGCCTCATTAGGAAAATTATGTAATAACTATAATTAGATGTGATAATTACTATGCAAACAGAATTTCAGGATCAGCCTCAGACAACAGTGATCTGAATCTAACTTTAGTGATGTTGCTTTTGCTTAAAGCCTTTCCTCAGCTGCTTGAAAAAATTGACAGTGTTATATGAAGCCATGTCTAGTGAATAAATCAGGTGTCCATTTAAAAAAAAAAAAAACTGCCGTGAGGGCACAATTGGTTTTATGTGCCAGTAATGAATGATCACCTGCATTTTGATAAACACTGCTCTGGTGTTCAAATCAACCATCCTTCCTTGTTATTCTTGTTCAGTGGTCTTTTGAGGAATTTGGGGAAATAATAGACTACTGATCCTGAAATTCTAAAGCTGAATTGATTGTTCTTGCCACATTAAAAAAAAAAGTGGGGTGGGGTGGGAAGAGGGGTATGAATTACAAAGACTTGGGAAGGCTACTGTAATTCCAGAGTGCCTTTCATTTCAGGTTTCAGGCTGAATCTCTAACTAGCAGCCTCTCCAGCAAACTGAGGAACACTCTAATCGGAATCTGAGGGGAAGTCCCATTATCAGGTTGCTACACACTTACCAAATACCCACAGGTAATTATCATGATCTATATAATTACATTGTTCTTAAAATATGAACCATGTGCTCACTTAAGCCTTTATTTAAAAAAACTATGGGTGTTTGGTTTTATGTATTTTTAAAGCTTTCCAAATTGGGAGGGGGTGTTGAAGTCTAATAATAATAACATCTTGTATCCAAACAATCTTAGGGTTGTAAATCATGATAATGTGATTAAAAATAAGTATGTGGCAATAATTTATAGACAGTAAAAACCGTATAGTTTTAGTAATTCATTCCACATATATATTCAACTTCAATCTATATGATGTATCTACAGTGTAGCAGACACAGTACATTAATTCGTATTCAGAATTATTTTCCTTGGGGAAAATAATTGCAATTCCATAATTGCAAGTTTAGTATGATAAAGACTATTAGTAATGTGCTCAGCAGCACAGCAGGAGGCTGGATTTTGATGGTAGGGACACTATCCTGGGAAGTTGGATCTGGAAACACAAATAAGAGTTTTCTAGATGAAATGGGGCAAATACTGAAATGGGAAACACAAAGAGACCCAAAGGCATCAAAAGGAATGAGTTTGATGTTTTTGAAAACCCTGCTTCTATTGGGAACAGGACAGAAAAGAGAAGACAGTAGCAGATGTCATTCTTCTTTTAAGTAGTTGATTCCATTATAACCGAATACCCTTGTGTGGCTTCAAAGGCAATCCCAATGAGGAAAGTGACATCAGAGGCTTTCTAGCAGGAATGTGGCACGATCTGTTTTAGCTTTTTGAAAAATAATTCCGGCAAGAATGGAGAAAATTAATTTACCAGGTGTTGTGTCAGTGACCAGTCAGAAATCTAGTGAAACAAAGTGAAAACATTTGCACTTTCATACTAGAGTAGAATATTAACAATGAGAACAATAAAGTATGTGAAGCTTTACATAGCTTTTATTCTCTCTCTGTGTGTGTATATATACAATTTTATTTGGACCCCTGTAGTTGAACTATAGTGTAGCTAGAAAGTACCTTTTTGCCAATGTGGGACCACAAGTAGAGAAGGTCATCTACCTCGTCCAAAGACACACAGCAGGCCCCAGGGTTCCAAAGTAAATCCATCCATGTTTGGAGCTCAGGTATGTAATCTTATGTAACTATATAGCCAGAGAAAGAGCTGGATTTGTGAGGCTATTCTGAGAAAAACGCAGTCGAGCTGAGAAAAAGCAAAATATAGCAGCAAGAGAACAGGATCCAGAGTCGAATTACCTGGATTCAATTTTGTGTAACTGGAGCAACTATTTAAAGCATGCAAGAATACTTAAATATGCCGAGCCTCAGACACTCCATCTCTAAAACAGGAATAATAGAAGCACCCATAAGGTTATAAATAATTAAAGGATATGAGGAGGATTAGGCAAGGTAATACATATGGAAGGATTTAGCCCAGTGCTCAGCTGAAGGGCTAGATAAAAGACAGTCATAATGACGATGATGATAATGAATGCTTATGAATTATCTTTAGAACTCTTGGGGGCATATTGAATGTCAGCAAAGAGAATGGTATGGTTTGCAATGTGAAGGGAAGTGGGTGGTGATGCCACAATTAGAAGAGGCAACAATATAAGAGTTACAGCTACCAGGCTCAATTTAGGCATCTGAGCTTCGAAGATTAAAGGACACATAGCTAAGAGTACCCAGAAGACATGAGAAATTGTAGGAAAACTTGGTAGTAAAAATGAACTTTTAACTCTGGCTGAGTGTGCAGAATGAAAGAGAAGTCCATGAAGAGGACCCTAGGGAACCATTTCAGCTTCCCATGCTAGCTGCTGGTGTATCACCTCCTTGCTTCTGTGTCTTCATTGACTTTGCTTGTATTTTTTGACTTTCTTTTTGGATCACAAATGGAACCAATTTACCCTTGACTGCTTTCTGCTGTTGACCTTGCATTCCATATCATACCAGCAAAAAAAAATTTTTTTTTAATCAGAAAAAAAAGGAAAAAAGTTTGGAAATCATCAGGGGGAAAAAATGGCTTCAAAAAGTCATGTAAATAAGTGGTGCTGTGGCTCAAAGTAGAGCACTAGCCTTGAGCATAAAAACTCAGGGTCAGTGCCCAGACCCTGAGTTCAAGTCCCATGACGAACACAAAAACAAAACAAAATAACAACAAAAAGTCAAGAAAGCAAAATGTCTCAGTGTGCTCTTTGGTGAGCATTCTGTCACTCCTCTCTGTTGCAATGACACATTGGCTATTCCCTTCTTGAGACATACCTGTCAAGATTCTCTTTCTTTTAAATTTGTGAGATGAGGGTATTACTAGATAGCCGGTGCTAGCCTAGAACTCCCTACCATAGCCTGGAACCTTCTGCATCAGGCTCCTTAGTGCTGGTATTACAGGCATAGGCTACCATGCCAGCCTCCACCAATTCTCTTTAATAGACATCTCTTGCCCCAGAGGCTCATTCATGTCAACTGTGACATGAAACCAGTCCACTAAACAAACCCATATTTAAGGAAATAATGGTGAAATTTGCACATGCCCTTGATATTTTTCTTTATATTTTAAATTGACACATAAAATGTACAGTTAGGGGTTACACAGTATTTTGATGCATATACACATTGTATAATAATCAAATGATATTTATCAGGCCTTTGTAGTGAGAACATTCAAACAACTTTCTTTTAGCTTTTTTTTTTTAAATATACAGTACACATTCTTGTTAACTCTAGTTACCCTCCTGTGCAATAGGAACACCAGAACTTATTCTTCCCTTCTAATTGCATGCCTTTGTGTATTACCCAAAATGCTTCTTGGCAGGCTTTCATTCCATTTTCCACTTGGCCTCCTAGCTTTGGCTTCTTTTCTTTCTGCCTCTGCATTTATACTTGATTGTGGAGGTGTTGTACTCAGATCTCACTCCAAGACAGCGTGCTGTATGAAGTGTTGTTGACTACCAGCCTCTAGTTAGTGGCTGTATCTCCAAATGTGCAGCATACATTCCAAGGTCATCCTCCTCCTCTCCCTACCCCCACAGCACTGCCAAGCAATGCCTGTATACATAGGGTTCCACAGCTGGTTCATTTCTGCCTGACACAGATTCCTGTAAAGAGCAGTCTTTGCCAGTCATGCAGCCAGGACTTTTCTTCAAGCAGCTCTGCAGCCTGGGCTTTTCCTACCTCCTCTGTCCTTCCTTCTTTTCTTTCACAAGTGTCACCTCTGCTCTGTGGGTTGAGTCTCTTCCCACCCATTCCAAAAAAATCTTTGTAACATCCAAGTGTGGCTTGATGTCCATTATCAAGAGGATGTAAACTGACATAAGTGATAAGAAAAAAATGGTCCAAGAACAAAGGCAGTGTAATTAGGTTTGAGTATTGTTTACTCATGCTTCGCTGACAAGGAGGACCTCATTCTGAGAGGTGACTGAATATTTCCTAGCACAAGGTGGTCACACAGTTGCTGAAGATTTCACTGCTGAGGACCTGGAATACATCCTGATAGAAGAGAACAAATTTTGTATGGTTGTGTTCTGGCAGTACAAGTGTTTGAACTCAGGGCCTTGCACTTACTAGGTAAGTGCTCTTCCACTTAGCCATGCCTCTAGCCTTCCATGTTTTTAGAGTAAATATTTAGGTATTTCAGAGGTATGGAGAGAACAATGACTATAGGAATGAGGGTTGTTACTTAAAAGTTCTATTGATTACCTACAGAGGGATTTGAACCTGAGAAATAATGGAATTAAAAAAGGCAGAATGTGAGACACTTGGAGCCTGTTTAACTTAGATCATGAGATTTTAACAGCATTGCAAGGACACAAAACCTCTCCCTTGAGGAGGCCTACTTATTGTTTAACAGCTCTTAGGTGCCCAGAAAAAGTGACATCCATACTAAGAGAAGTATCAGAGGGCAGAGGAAGGAATATAGAAGTTTCTGCAGTAAATTCCTAATGTGCGGCCAGAAGGCCCACAAGAGGATTATGTCCACTGCATGGCCCAGAGAACACACCATTCTCCAAGGCAATCAGAAGAGCACTGGGGAGGGGATTCAGCATCATGAGGATGGTCCTTCTTCAGGGCAGGGCTCACGCTGTCACCAAGCTGAGTTCACAAAAAGCATTAGGAATGATGAGGCCAGGTAACAATGCTTAACCACCAGTGGCAGCCACTACCTGTAACACCAACAATATTGGAGTCACTGTCAAAGGGTCATGATCTACAAGATGTAAAAAAATGGTTTGTAGAAGGGCTAGAGACATGGCTGAAGTGGTAGAGCACCTGCTTAGCAAACATGAATTCCTGAGTTCAAATCCTAATACCACCAAGAAAGACAGATATACAGAATGAGAGACAGACAGACAGACAGACAGAGATACAGAGAGAGAATGACAAAAGGAAATAAAAATGGTTAATGGAATCTAGTGTCCCTGGGAGGAGGGGGGGATAGAACAACTAGTGAGAGTTTTATTTAATATAAATTATCAGAGGGTGAAGTTGGTTACCCCAATAACATCTCATGATTCATTGTTCACTTCCTGCATCTGAGGAAATTTTCAGATCTAGAACTCGGTGACTGAGAAATGGCTGTGTTCTGAGGAAGAAGAACCATGCAAGGCCACAGGGACCAATAGGAATGGGTTCCTCAGTCCTGCCTTTTAGTCATGTGACTGTAAACTGGGAAGCGGGGGATAACCATACTGAGAGCTTTAAAACAACTGTCTGAGCTGACACCGAACCTCAAAGATTTGACGTGTCAACCACTGTCCACGAATCCAGCTAGTCATTTCACCTATCCTTAGTGAAAAGGGAGGATTGCCTTCCATGACAATTTGGTTCTTTCATACCCTTTGCTCATGAGGTAAGAACCATCATTTTGGGAAGGCCAAGAAGAAGCCACTGAAAGGAGCACTTCCTGAGCCAAGACAGTGAATTAACCATACTATTATGTCCCAGAAATGATGGCACATATTAGTATCACTGTGATGATTATCTTTATGTGTCAACTTGGCTAGGTCACAATGGCCAAGCACTTGGTCGAATAT